CGTGCGATACATGACATCAAATTTCATGCAAAGTGCAAAGTGCATGTAATAAACATGTTTATTTACGTTTATTTTTATAACTTTTCAAATAATTTTTATTTAATGCAAATTTATGTTATGCACTGTTACTTTTTTTCTGTTAGTATACTTTAGCGTCGTCGTAATCTCCTATATTCTTAAAACTCCTATCAGTAGTGTATACTTGTTATCGTATAAATTCATTATGTTTTAATTTTGTATGCCTATGCTTTACCTTTCAAGTATTCTGTACGTATTTAATTTCATGTCCTTAAATTGTGATATTTTACCTATTCTACGTGTACTTTAATGTATATATGAGGTGAGGCTCACATAAACTATCTGTGTGTGTTTGTCTAAACCCTACGCATGTGTACATATACAGCAAATATAGGTCCATTTGTAATTATATAAGTCACATGTGGCTACTGCAATCTGTGTCCTGGCAAAGACATATTTGTACCCAATTTTGACATAATGAATCGTAACTTATATTTAGTGCCTAGAAATGTTCAGTGGCTCTCCTGGTCCAACAGGATAGTCATACTACCGTTTATGTAGTAGGTGTTGAACAAAGCCATATACTATGGCATTTATGTTGAACTTGATGCAAAAACTATGCAAAAATATGCAAAATACCAAACAGACAAGACGGAGATAGATTAACTAAATACATATTCCTCGTCTTCTTGTTCTCTCCGAAGGCCGTCATATCACTACACCAATCACAACAACAAAAAACAATATGATGCATAGTTTTTATTGAAGTAAAATTGAATTATGTACAATAAAATGCAAATAGCATGGGTACATTAAATACCTTCTCACGTATTTCTTCATGTTAATGTGTTATAAGTACGCCACAATATTAGCTCTCAGAACGGAACTAATATATACGACAAGTGCTGACGACTAAACATTTCGGTACCGAAGGACTAAACTATCTGTGTCTTATCTCAAGACCCATGAGTGAGTGAGCGAGTTTAGTTTTATGCCGCACTTGGCAATACTCCAGCTATAAGACCAGTGACGATTCTGGTGAGAATTGACGACTAACTGGATCGAATGATAAGATTCGCTGACTTGTTCACACATCCATCGTATCCCAAAAGTGTAGATCGATGCTCATGCTGTTGATCACTGGATTGTCTGGTCCAGGTTCGTTTATTTACAGATCGCCGTCATTTAGTTGGAATATTGCTGAGTGCGGCCTTAAACAACAAACAAGCAAAGAAACAACACACTATGTAACACAAGTGTGAAGTAAGCGTTTCGATGTATGAGACAATATATTCCCTAATACTAACAATGTTTGTTGCCTAAACTGCAGAAATATGTACAATAAAAAAGATAATATATATATGTTCATGGTTCCTTCGAGTTAAAACAAAGGTATCGTACAAGTGAACATATTAAAGTTTTATTTGAATATTTCAGAACAAGCGTCATTTGATTCTCCACAAGATAGCGTGGTACAAGAAAAAATAATTGTCTTTTCCATGTTTAATGCAGCACTTGAAACAGATGCTGGAGGACTATTTATCCGTTGTATGACCCAGTGCTGTGTACGTGTCACAAGATCGGTGCGGCATCAGACTGTCATAATTATCTGTTGTTATATTAGTGACACCACGTGCTTCACTTTCAGCATTATCCGCGCTCTTCCTTCCATCGAGAGCTGATGTGCTCCTGCATTCTTTGCTGTCATCCTTCCGACTTCGGGAAATATTTCTATAGTACCTGATAACTCCTCAGTATCAACAGTACCGAGGGGTGCATTCCATGTTTCATCAGTGTCTTGAGTCATGAAGCCGGTCTCTGCAAGCGCTTCAATACGCCCTGCTGTCATACTTCCAGAGTCTCTTCCATGGACCGACCAATCAGCAACAGCAAGCACGGGATCTGAATGAGAGGAGGCTTCAGATAATGTTATGTTCATTTCACCCGTAATGTCTTCCACACTGTCCTGGTCAGGTTGCTGCATTGGAGCTCTTTTTTCTTGCTATTCTGGAAGTTCTTCACTGTTGATAGTGTCCAGTGGTTTCACCTCTTCATATTCGTCATTCTCATCTACCTTCCTACAGTTACGTTCTAGCTGTTGCCTTTCTCGCCGGATTCTTGCACCAGGTGGAATATTGTCATCAGATTGGATATTACCGACAGGTCGCGCAAGGTTGCCTGCGCCACGTTCAAGTAAATCAGCATTGTCGATTTCAGCATAGCCTTGACTATCGATATTTTCTGGCATGTTGTGCATTGGTGTGATGTACGATCCTCGTGACCTGTGAAATATAGTAAGCCTTAGAGAAGGCTACGTGTATACCATTGACATATATGACTGTAAATATAATCTAAATGTGAAGTGCTGAGTTCCGTCTAGCTTGCTCACAGGCGTTTACAGAAGCCTGTCCGATCACAGACAAAAAGATAGGTCTTAAGTTCTCAGTGGAATGTTTCATTGTTACATGTGAAAATGACCCCGAGTAAGATTAGATGACTGATTCGAACAATTGGTGAATAAACAGAATACCCTTACCTTAAGTTCCAGTAATCTGCAAAATAGGAATGATGACCTTAAAGTTTCAAGTTTGACATTATGTTGAAAACGAAACCAAGGTCAGAGGGATGAAAGTGATTATAAGCTGATATTAAAGGGTCTCTGAATGACAATTAGAAGTGATGCATGAAAAGGATGAACATTTATTGAGGTCAACATCTGTCTTATGATGGCCACGACATTCAGAGTATATTTTTACTCCTTCACCACATGAAGAAAACTACAAAGCAGATACATGTATAAGTACATGTGTGACATGACTTGTGATCAGATGACAATGGTGGACGCTTAACAAGGGAAGCTAACAGTTAATGGTCCCAGCAAATAATCATGCCCTGGGCAAAGGGAGATAACCACCCTGATAGATGATAATGAAGGCATGAGTGTTCAGACTGTTTCTGAGTATAGAGGACAGCTCACATGCCCGTTGGATTCACAGTGGCGTAAAGCACAACTCACTCACTCACCTATACAGTAATCTGGTTTTATTAACACATTAAATTAGGTTACCTTGTCGTTTGATCCTTATCAACACAATAGCTGCAACGATGAATACAGTCAGGACAATAAACAGGACACAACACCCGACGATGATGTAAAGGACGACCGTAGTAACGCCTGAAATATAAAATCACACTTCAGTTTCCCTAACTGATCTATTTCCTGGCAGTCAGTAACTAACTGAAACCATGTTAGCCATGTGTGTTGTGAATCTTTTGGTCCAATAGAGTTTAATGTCGCAGAAGATACTGGGTTTAAGAAAATCATGTTAGCCTTTCGACCTCGAACTGCTACAAAAGGTTTATGAAAAAAACCCGAAAACTTAAGAGGACACATACATTTATGTAAAGAAAATATAGTGGATCGAATTTTTTTCTCAAAATATTTTAATACTTTGTAATAACGAATGACATTACTTTTGTCAGTGTTGGCGGTTGTAGCTGTAGATAGAGGTGTGCTGGTGACAGTCACAGGAGGCGAATAGTAATAACATCCACCATCTGGATCATAAACAAAGTGAGTGAGTTAGTTTTACTCCACACTCAGCTATATGTCGGCGGTCTGTGAATAATCGAGTCTGGACCGGACAATCCAGTGATCAAGAGCATGAGAATCGATCTGCGCAATTGAGAACCGATGACATGTGTCAACCAAGCTAGCGAGCCTGACAACCCGATCCCGTTAGTCGCCTCTTACGACAAGCATGGGTTACTGAAGGTGCATTCTAACCCGCACCTTCACAGGCTGATCATAAGCACAGGTAAAATGCAAAATCTGAAAGGATTGTTATATTAGGAATTATAAAGTGTTGGCTCAAGACATATAGTTTAAATATTTGCTTTAAAACTGACAGCATTCGAACCTCCAAACACCAGATATTTTATTTTCAAATACCGGGGATTTTCATGCAGGGAAATAATATCAATTTAAACGTTTAAGAATACGTTGTGAAACTTGTGAAACTTTGGACTGGGGTATGCAGGTACCCCGCAGCAATATCTTGTTACGAGAGAGCGTTTCGATCGTATTTGCTGACGTCATGGAGGCTGGAGCCGCCGTTTGAGGTTTTGTTTGACCAATGGTGGAAGGTACAATACTAGGTGAGACATGTGTGTTCTTACGATCTTAAACAATTCCAGTCTGTCAAGTTTTTATTCTTCCTTCTAAACTAACGATTTTATTAGAACTCCCATTCTGAATCTGCATCTAAAACATGGTAGTTTAGCTTGATAATTTGTTTGACAAATGAAAACATGAAGGTCTTTTAACAGTGGCCACATACCTTTTTCCACGTATACCCCTTATGACGACATTTTTACTTTTAACTGGTTTTGAAGGATGCAAGCCACTATTTATTAACCCCAATTAACCTCTTAGTTACCCTGCCAAGGAAAAAGTCGTGTGTTTTGTATTTCAAAACAACTTCCTGGTAAAACTGATCAGCTGTATGAAATACAGTGTGTCCTGTAGTACCGTCAAACATATCTTGAGCCCAAACTGGCTTGCTTCAAAGCGAATTTATATTGCACAAGTGTAACATTACCCAGAATTTGTTATTGTAGGACGTCAAGTGTAGATGCCGTAGGACAAAGAACGGTACTCTAATTGATAATGCTTAACATATTCATCCCTAGTATGGTGATCTACCTTCAGTTGTTGGCGATCTATAGCCCGTTTTTATATTGTGCTGTTTTGAAATGATTTAACATTTTACACTGAACTCAAACTAGTTTTAATCCAATTGTGATATTCTAGTCGTTATACTGTCCTTCGCTGGCAGGTTTTTAAATCAGCATACATATGTTTATTATTAGTACATAACTTTTTGCAGTCGCAATATTGCTGAAATATTGCCGATGTGACGTTAAATATTAACTCACTCACTCACTCACTTTACATATTCAAATATATACTCGAGACTTACCAGCAATCACAAGGTTGTGGCCACCATAAAATGATCTTCGCTTGAAATCACTCAAGTAATAACGTCCTGAATCTCCCTTCGTAGCATTGATGATCATCAACTTAACTGTTTTCCCGCTATGTGAAGTGATCAGTCTGATGACCTTTACTTTTGACCTGTAGTTTGGCCAGATGTAGACAGAGATAGATTGTATTGTAGCAATGAGTCTATCACTAGGAGACCAAAACCTTATCACATCATCCGTGATCACCCTCCAAGTCGAGAATATGGTGACATCCTCGCCTTCACTTGCAGTTGTGGTGGTAGTAGATGGGACTGAAATAGTCACATTTAGAAAGTGTCCGTTGAGCAATTAACAGACAAAAAAAATATTGCCATCACAAGGATTATATGTTTTAATGTCATTACTTATTGTGAATAAAGATCAATATTCTTCCATTATGATGTCATCGCATGTAATGTTTATATGGGACGTTTTCACAGGAATTGTCCTTACTATGGTTCTTGACTCTTTGTTCAATAATGATGATACCATATATCGGTCTCACCTTCTTGTCCAAATATGTACTCGTCAGTGTGAAAGTACGATGACCATGTTCCAACTCCCAGTTCAACCTGACACATGTATCTCTTTCCTTCATCAGTCACCCTCGTGTCTTTAACTGTCAGAGTATTGGTGTGGTATCTGTGTATGCTGTTTTCAAATGACCCAGGCCCTGAGCTCATCTCATAATTCCCTCCATGGATTATTCGTTCATCATTTTTCTTCCACGTGAAGGAGATGAACGTGAAGAACTTTACTTCAATTAAAATATAGCACGTCAGGTTTACATCACTGCCATACTGGACTCTCCCCGGAGACACGATGTAAGGATCCTGCGTGTAATCTGTAAACACAGGTATCACAGACTTGGCTGATACTGATCGTTGCAGCTTCAAGGTGTCAATGTAACATATCGCATTTAATACAACTGTTTACTTGTTACATGTGTGATACTTTATTCATATTGAAATTATGCTTACGACTAAAAACATATAGGATTTGTTATATCTGTAAGTAGGCTGTATTAAAATGATATAACACGGCGATACCAATATAACATTATAAGCTGTAACTTGCAAGTATAACAGTAACGCACTGATGTGCAAGTTAATCTACAACAATCAAATCGACTTACTTTGAGCGTCGTGTCCACGTCCAGTTACAGTCACAGAAACACAAATACCAGCAAGTATCCACGTCCAGATGAATTTGTTCCTCACTTTGACCTTAAAGAAATATTTTGTACCTCAGCTCCACATTGGACCGCACCATTGCCGTCATGTAATGTATTAATAGAGAGGAGCACCTGATTATAGTGACTAAGCAATAGTAGTTCATGCTTTGATCTGTATAGCAATCTCTGTGGAACTATACTATGAGTGCGTTTAGGTTTACGGCGGGGGTCAAACAGAAAAGGGCTTCACACATTGTGCCCATGTAGGGAATGGAACCCGGGTCAGAGTGATGAGCGAACGCTTTAACCATTAGGCCACCCCATCACCAACTATACTATGATGATCACTGAAGGAATGAGTGGACTTACCAGGTCCATGGCGGCTCGTGTACTACTGTAACATGTATTTTGTTAAATCAGGACAAACTTCCTTATCAGAACGCAGCATCATTATTCAATCCACGAAGCAGGAAATATTTAAATAACATTCTCTGACACAACTGGCTCTGTGTAATCGTGATTAGTTTCAGTGCACAATAAATATTTTTATGAAGTACCATTCAAAAGTTTTGACTCACTAAAGTCTACTGTTCTAACTAGATTTTGCAAAATATTCCATTCTGTGTAAAGGTACTGTTTACGCATGAACAGAAGTATTGTAAAACAAATTCGTATCGCTGAAAAGATTATTGTCACGAGTTCTGTAAATGATGAAAATAAGTGAAAATTGGCAAATTCTTAACAAAGCTTTACACCAAAACGCAGCCGTTTGCATGCACGATATTTACACATGCTTTTAAGCAACTTAATGCATGATCCTCGTGCAATTCATCTGAATAACAATTGCAGTTGGTTCCCATTATTTAGTGGAGAAATTCATTTTCGATATAACCATATATATAAATATAGCATATAGTGAGTGCTTTACGTGAGGCTAAACTTTTGATGGGTAGTTTTTGTGCAAACCGAGTTTGCTTGCAAGCGGAAAGTTGTGACATTTTACAATAAGAAAAAATGGACTTCACACATTGTACCCATTTGTGGAATCGAACCCGGATCTTCAGCGTGACGAGCGAACGTTTTAACGACTAGGCTACCTCACTGATCCTTCTGACAATACAGGACTCTCGAGCTGGGTAAACCGCAATTCATAGTCTAATAACGACGGTGGCAGTGATCACATGTAGTAGTAAGGTTGTACACGGCGGTCGCCAGTGTCTCGCTTTTTATACAAAGTGCAAGGACGTTATATATGGGTAAATCTCAAGACATGGACACATCGACAATAGAAGATCCCATCATGTCCTCATGGCAACTTGTATTGAGATCAACGAAGGTTGTTTTAAATGATGTTTCGGACGCCGTGTGCATCATTGTTACAGTCTATTATGCTGTGACGTTTGAACAGATTGATCAAACCTGAGACAAATAATTATTCACCAGACTAGCAGAAAGGTTACGCTTGTGTATTTGTGGAACGTATCTTTTACGAAATATGATATTACATATAAATACATATTCAGATTTGGTGGATTAAAAACAAACACATTGACGCACACATAGAGACCCACATACACACACGTCAAGAATAATAGCACGCATTCCGTTATACCATGCATGACGTGTTCACTTTGACACATAGAAATCATCTTCACACCGCATTTTCTTATTCAAGCAGACCGCCTCCGTGGTGTAGTGGTTAGAGCGTCCGGACACGGTGGGGTAGCCTAATGGTTAAAACGTCCTCTTGTCACATTGAAGACCCGGGACCCGAAGAAATTGTGGACCCACATTTCTGTTGTCCCCAACCGTCGTAATGCAGGGATATTGCTAAAAACGGCGTCAAATCATACTCACTCACTCACCCTTAAACAACGCATGAAATATATCTGCGTAAGTGACCAAACAAGTTTTGAAAGAACTGTAGCAAGGGCGAGCGATTGTTAAAGTGCCGCTGAATTGAATCTAACCCATCACTACGTGGATAGTTAAGTGTATCACAAATGGAAGTGAAAGTAAAGTGTTCCAAGGCGTTCACCCATACTACATTGCAATTGTTAAACTCAACATCGTGTGACGGTTAGTGGACCTATGACTTGATCCTCTAATCTGCTTCTCAGGCACGCCTGAGCTCGTGAGGACCAGTGTATGTCATAATATGCAGGATAAAAGGAGCCATACCGCAATTTTTGATAGATGCATGATTCACTCTCAAACTTGTGATCATTATCGCGCAGTCATGTATGACGTAACCAAGGCCTGAATGAAGTATATTACAATGAGGTTCTGGCTTTGAAGATACTGAATATGTTCATGTAATGCATTCATGTTGTAGACAGTCAACCCTGAACTGTTTGTTTACATTTGTTTTGTGTGGGCAGAAAGAACAAATAACTGACGCTTTTAATTTGATTAAGCGACGACAAAGTGAGTACTCGTATATAGCAGCTACTGTTTTCTGTGATCCAGGTGCGATTACTAATAGGAGGGCGTGATGACAGCAAACCATTGCTAGCTATGAGTGAGTGATTATGGTTTACGCCGCTTTTAGCAATATTCCAGCAATATCGGGGGACACCAGAATTGGGTTTCACACATTTTACCCATGTGGGGAATCGAACCCAGGTCTTCGGCGTGATGAGCAAACGCTTTAACCACTAGGATACCCCACCGCCCCTGCCATCTGTGATGCTACTGTTATGAGAGTGTGTCACAATGTTTAAAGTTTTGAGTGTGGGTTTTGGCTTGCATATCGCATCACATATGATCAATGGCAATAGTATTTGTAGCGGTGCACCTTTTGAGGTAGCGTTTCAAAGTTGCCTCCCTTGGCATTTTTCGGCTTTCATCATGCCGTGACGTGTTCCACCGATTGTTACTCAATTGCATTGTACTATAAATCTGTATTGTCATTTATTGTAGTTTGCTCATTCTTTATTCAATATATTATTGAATATTTTAGACTTCTATGTGTTCTATTTTGCTGGTTTAAATGGGATGCTTAAACCTTTTGTAACTGCAAATTATTAACCGCAACCCTACGCAACAATTATATACATTTAATTCGCCTCAAACGAATGAGTCACTGGTTTGTTTCCTGGTATATGAAATTCTTCCGGTTTGATAAGACAATATCGCCAGTGCATGAGGGGGCAGCCAAGGCAGGACAAATTATGTTTCACACACGCCAAACCTCGTTATGGAGAGGCGAGTCATGATAAAAACATAATTCATTGATTAATTTTTCAGTGTTACCAATGTTTGCGATTGTAGCAAAGATATAACTAACGTTAAGAAATACTTGATAAATGGCAAATCATACTAAATAGAAAACTTAGATGTCACTCAATAGGTATTATCATCCAATCTCACTGCGATCCAGAAACAAGGAAGGCAAACCGTTTGTAGTTAAGACCAACTTAATCCAGGATTTGCGTTATGAGCGTGACTCCACTCAAAGTACATCATAGCCTAGTATGTATGCAAGTGTATGCATGTGTGTGAGTGAGTGAGTTTAGATATAGGTGCGGATGAATGCGAGTGTACGTGTTTGTATATCATATGAATTGAAATACTGATACCTGTTGAGGTGATGAGTTAGAAACACAAATAAATTCGGAATGTTTTATTGCAAATGAATCGGTGGAAAGAAGTACGCATGGAAAGCCTTGGCTAGTATCTATAATACAGACACAAACCGATATAATTTTATTCAAGTATGTATGTATGTATGTATGTATGTATGTATGTATGTATGTATGTATGTATGTATGTATGTATGTATGTATGTATGTATGTATGTATGTATGTATGTATGTATGTATGTATGTATGTATGTATGTATGTATGTATGTATGCATGCATGCATGCATGCATGCATGCATGTATGTATGCATGTGTGTGTGTGTTTACACATGTATGTATATGTGTGTATGTTTGCGTGTGTGCGTGCGTGTGTATATGTGTGTGTAATTGTTACCGTGGTTTTTACAAAAAGCAAAACAACTTTGATGAGAATACTGTACAATACCAAACGATTTTACAAACATAAGAACGTATTACCAAAGGTAACCGTGTCGGTTAAGCAATATGATTGTACAGCCTCTGTGAGATAATATATGTAAAAGTACAGACTTATCCAAATCCACACTACATGGCTTGGTCACACGACACATGGAACAATGATCAGCTAATCTGTATTCATAGCGACAAATGGGGGAAGCGAAACCCACAATGATATATTCAAACTGTCACAATCAATCTTAAAAAGTGTGAAACCGCACTGGTCATTACAGTTTCAAAGGAACATAACAGTTTAGAACCTGAACTCAGCAAATGTGTCTTTTGTTCCATTACAAATTTATCTGACCGACTTAATGAGAGGAAGATTTGGCGATCAACTGATATTGTTTTGCAATACGTGACGGAAATATCACCAAATTGACGTCAAATTTGAACTCACTCACGCACCCCATATGGTACGTATTTGGTAACTAATGTGTTAAAACCACACTTTTAAACACGCAGAATAAAATGAGTCCTGGTGTCTGTTCACATTGAAGAAGGGTTGCAAATATTGCAAAGTTTTATTACATATTCTTTAAAAAGGATGTAGCTTACATTTTGCAAACAAAAGTCTAGTTCGCATCTTTTCGTGATAAAGTCACTGACAGATATTGGCCACGGAACTGTTAAGGTGTTGATCTGATGAAATTCTTTTTCGTGTACAAACATATTCATTATTCAATCATATTTGTTATTTTTTCTTAGTATTATTCTTATGTTGTTAATTATTTCAATTATGTATCCAGCTATTGGAATAATGTATTCCGGTGTCAGGGTTTTTTGACGATGCAAACAAAAACGTATTTTTATCTTAATATCATTTATAGCTATATTTTACTAACTTTGAGCGATAAAGGATATATTAATCTATTTCACACAAAAATAGCAAGTGTTCCCTACAAAATAGCGTTCATGACATCGTATCGGCCAAACTGTTGCCGCTTTAGTTTGTATGAGTTTTCGACGATGAGCCATACTTTCTTGCTCCGCACTGCGATTGAGAGTTGTCATCTCGTGGCTTCCTATTACAAATATAATGCCTGTCATTATTGTCACGACCGATCTTAATGAATTTTCGCTTGCTATTTTTTGTTATATAGGCAACTGATTTTGCATTCGAAGTGGTATTAATGATCTCGGGTAAATAATATTGATGTTTGCTTGCTTTTCATATAACTTAACTTCCGGATTTCCATTGTCAATAATACTTCTCAAGACAGCGACTGGGCATCCGCCCTACAGATGAAATTGCTTGTGCACTCCGATCGCGCACGTACTCCCCCTATATAGCGCGAGCAATGCAATCGTCGAAATCACCAGAACGTCGAATTCAGCTCGCTTTGGGATATTGGAGCGGCGTTTACATAAGCCACTAGGCTTGTTCGCCTATCAAGAGTTCATCCTTGGCGAAATAAAAAACATGTTTAAACCATATTTTCTGGATGGCTCATTCAACAGACATCGTCGATACGTTACCAGCGACAACTATGCACAGTGCATATCCAGAACGATCTTTCTCACGCTGACCATTATCATACAAGCTACACAAAGATACAGAATCATTATTCTCTTCTTCATGATCTGAGTATTGTTGAGTACAGTTCAGGACAGGTCCATGGTCCACGAGGGTGACAGGTTCATAGTCTTGGTCTACTGGTACTAATTTGTTCCTGGTGGTATTGGCATCTGTAGGGTCGACCTCATTCACTTGGTTGAAACGTTTGAAGTAAAGTGTGTGGTATCCTAAACTGTTTGACGCATACAGCTGACTGTTTTCAGCGCCATCAACATGTGAACATTCGACAACATCATAACGTTGACGTTGAACGATGTTCGATGTCGTAAATGTCGCAGGCGTTCTACGTTGGTGAACAACTGCAACAGTGAAAATACATTTAGTTTTGGTTTGGGAAAAGGCTTCGTTTCGATCAGGGTGGTGGGGGTAGTCTAGTGGTTAACTGTTAACTCGTCACGCCGAAGACCCGAGTTCGATTCCCCACATGGGTACAGTGTGTGAACCCCATTTCTGGTGTTCCCCGCCGTGATATTGCTGGAATATCGCTAAAAGCGGCGTAAAACAAAACTCACTCACTCATTGGTTTAGAACACGGTTGGCGGCTCATACTTATGTACATATTGACGATATCAGATTCTCGTAAATGCGTGCGGATTAAAGTTATTTGAGTCGAAGAAAAATGTTGTCGCCGAGAAGATGTAGAATCCTGTGACTGTAAAAGAAAGAAAAACTCACCCTCCTTCCTTAAAGGAGCATCCTCATGGTCGCTGGATGCATAAGGGCGTAAAGCATTCACTCACTCACTCACTCACATTAAATTAGGTTACCTTGTCGTTTGATCCTTATCAACACAATAGCTGCAACGATGACCACAGCCAGCACTATAAGCAGGACACAGCACCCGACGATGATGTGAAGGACAACTGTTGTAACATCGAAAATATTAAATTACATTACAATTACGAATCCGATTTATTTCCTGGCAGTCGGTAACATAATTTATTTGAAAGCATGTTTCCCATGTGTGTTGTGAATCTTTTGGCCTAATAGAGTTTAATGTCGCCGAAGATACTGGGTTTAAGAAAATCATGTTTGTCTTTCGACTTTGAACTGTTACAAAGGGTTTATGAAAAAACACACGCGAAATATTAAAGAGGACACACACGTTTATTTTAAGGAAATAACATGGATAGAGATTTTTTGGTCAAAATATTTTAATGCTTTGTAATAATGAATGGCATTACTTTGGTCAGTGTTGGCGGTTGTAGCTGTAGAAAGAGGTACCTCGGTAGGCGTCGCAGCTGAGGTTTGTGTGCTGGTGACAGTCACTGTGTTAGATGTGACATCTACTACAACAGGAAGCAAATAGTAATACCATCCACCATCTGGATCATAAACAAAGTGAGTGAGTGAGTTTAGTTTTACGCCGCACTCAGCTATATGTCGGCGGTCTGTAAATAACCGTGTCTGGACCAGACAATCCAGTGATCAACAACATTAGTATCGATATGCGCAATTGGGAACCGATGACATGTGTCAACCAAGCTAGCGAGCTTGACCAACTGATCCCCGTTAGTCGCCTCTAACGACAAGCATGGGTTACTGAAGGTGCATTCTGACCCGGACCTTCACAGGCGGATCATAAGCACAGGTAAAATGCAAAATCTGAAAGGATTGTTATATTAGGACTTATATAGTGTTGGCTCCAGACATATAGTTTAAATATTTGCTCTAAAATTGACAGCATTCGAACCTCCAAACTCTATATATTTTATTCTCAAATACCGGGGAATTTCAAGCAGGGAAATCATATCAATTTAACCGTTTGAGATCTCGTCGAGATGTATCATGTTAAATTGTGAAACTTGGGACAGTGGGGTATGAAGGTGCCCCGCAGCAATATCTTGTTAAGAGACAGCGTTTCGATCGTAACGTACCCTGAGTACTTGCTGACGTCATGGAAGCTGGAGTCGCCGTTTGAGGTTTTGTTTGACCAATGATGGAAGGTACAATACTAGTTGAGACCTGTGTACTCTTACGATCTGAAAAAAAGATACATTCTAAATAAATCAAGTCTGTCAACTTTTTATTCCTCCTGATAACCTAAGGATTTTTATAAGAATACTGACAACTTTAGTGATGTGATCTCCCATTCTGAATCTGCATCTAAAACATGGTAGTTTAGCTTGATAATTTGTTTGACAAATGAAAAACATGAACGTACCTTTTTCCACGTATACACATATGACGATATTTTTACTTTCAACTTGTTTTGAAGGATGCAAGCCACTATTTATTAACCCTAATGACCTATTAGTTACCCTGCCAAGGAGAGTGTCACGTCCAGATAAAACTGATCAACTGCATCCAATACAATTTTTCCTGTAGTACCGTTGAACATATCTTGAGCCCAAACTGGTTTGTTTCACAGCGATTTTCTATTGCACATGTGTAACATTACCCAGAATTTGTTATCGTAGGACGTCAAGGGGAGATGCTGTAGGACAAAGAACGGTACTCTTATTGATAATGCTTTATATATTCAAATATATACTCGCAACTTACCAGCAATCACAAGGTTGTGGCCACCATGAAATGATCTTCCCTTGTAATAACTCAAGTAATAACGGCCACCGTCCTCCTTTGTCGCATTGCAGATAACCAACTCAACTGTTTTCCGGTAAGGTGAAGTCATCAGTCTGATGACCTTCACTTTCGATCGACTGTTTGGCCAGATATAGACAGATATAGATTGTGTGGTGGCAATGAGTCCACCACCAGGAGACCAAAACCACATCACATCATCCGTCACCCTCCATGTCAGGAATATGGCGACATCCTCGCCTTCACTTGCAGTTGTGGTGGTATTAGATGAGACTGAAACATTGAGAAAGTGTCCTTTTAGCAATTGACAGACAACAAAATATGGCCATGGTTTGTATACATGTATGTCAGGGTATGTATGTTTTAACGGCAGTATTTATTGTGAATACCGATGAATATTGTTCCATTATGATGTCATCGCATGTAATGTTTATATGGGACGTTTGCACAGTAATTGTCCGTACTATGGTTCTTGACTGTGATGATACCTTAAAATAATTATATCGGTCTCACCTTTTTGTCCAAATATGTACTCGTCAGTGTTAAACGACGATGACCATGTTCCAACTGCCACTTTAACCTGACACATGTATCTCTTTCCTTCATTTGACATCCTCGTGTCTTTAACTGTCAGAGTATTGGTGTGGTATTTGTGCATGCTGTTTACAAATGATCCGGACCCTGAGCTCATCTCATAATTCCCCCCATGGATGAATTGTTCATCGTTTTTCTTCCAGGTGAAGGAGATGAACGTGAAGAACTTTACTTCAATTAAAATACAGCATGTCAGGTTCACATCACCTCCGTACTGGACGCTCTCTGGAGACACGATGTAAGGATCTTGCATGTAATCTGTAAACAAAGACATCACAGACTTGGTAATACAGATTGTGGCAGCCTCAAAGGGTAAATGTAACATATCGCATTTAATACAACTGTTTACTCGTTACATGTGTGATACTCTATTCATATTGAAATTATGCTTACGAATAAAAACATATTGGATTTGTTATATTTGTAAGTGGCATGTATTAAAATGATGTAACAAAGCAATACCAATATAACATAATAAGTGTGGAACTATTTCCCGATAAAGTGACAGATTGCTTGCAACGCACTTATGTGTAAGTGAATCTACAACAGTAAAATCGACTTACTTTGCGCATCTGGTCCACATCCAGTTACAATCCAAGAAACACAAAAGCCAGCAAGTATCCACGTCCAGATGAAGTTGTTCCTCACTTTGACCTAAAGAATTATTTTTGTATCTCAACTCCACATTGTACTGCATATTATAACCGTCATATTTACAGTTTGGAATAAATTATCTTATCAAAGTATACCAGATTGATCTCCCTCTGTCTGTCCCCGCACTTTCCCTCTCAAAGGCGATCCCAATGGAATTGTATGATAATGTTCATTGAACGAAGAAACGATCTTACCATGTCCATGGCAGCTCATGTATATTGTGAAATTAATATGCTAAGTCAGAACATACTTCCTTATGAAAGTCTAAGGTCTGATAGTACACTATCAACATACTTTCGGCATGTGGTTCAACGACGAAGCAGGAAATATTAAACAAAAGACATTCTGACACCGCCTGGTCAATGTGATCCATGTCAGGGCAAAATGCAGCATTTATTTAGAAAATAGGATTTTCGATTTTTCAAGCTTGCTGACATGCCGGATGTTTGAAAAGAAGGTTAAAGGAGTATATTATAATTTCATTTTAAGCATGTATGAGCATACTCTGGGTGATGAAGAGTGGATGGTCACAAATGATTAAGAATCTGAAACCACGACAACGCTTTCTAATTTGACCTTTGTTGTGTCGAAGCTTGGATTTTGATGGGCTCCGGGACCCAAGGGGACACATGCTCGTCATATTATATCATGTCTGATCACATCTGGCAAGGTGCTATAATGGCCACTTTAAGATAAGATTAATGACCTATTGTATGATTTTGATGCGCTAAATTAAATAGGGGCCGTAAGTAGATCACGACACTTCGCGAGACCTTATTACTTCTGGTGAAAAACAACGTTTGATACATTTTCGATCGGTCTCATGGTTGTCAGCGGAAGTACTAATGTCTCGCGAAGCGCCGACAATATGAAACAGATAATCCTTGCAGGAATAACAAATTTAACCATCCCAAAATTGGCCAACTATTACGACTGTCAACAGCTGGTTGTACACCTGATCCGGTCTAGTAAATTCATATTTGGCGGTCGCGCAATTTAGAACCAGAACTGGTTCTTGAATATACGCCTATCACTGGAAATCTGGTATCGTAAGCACGCTGGGCCCCGTCTCGCATACCGTAAGTTTGCACGCCCAAAGGGAGCTGACAACCAGTTTAATACCGTAAGTAGCGCCTCGCGAGACATACAGGCCCTATACATGTTCCCGGTTTTGGGTAGTCGGTTTCGAGCAACTTACTTGTCAACCTGCTTGCCAGGAAGTCAGTCTCAGCCTTGGATGTTTGGATTTCTATGTATACGTGATCATTATTCATATTGGCGACGTGTTTGTCATGTCCAGATAATTATGTGGATCCCACTTGACATAGATGGAATATTGTCCAAGACAAATGTTCGATGCACTTATTGACCAAGTGTAAATATATATTTTGTATTCAGTGTAATTCCAATTCACTCAACTCCCCCATCCCCTTCAAACACTCGAGTCGGGGTTCTCACAACCCTCACAGCGGCCACTGATCCAGAGCAATGTCAGTGGACTGATTGTTGCTTTTGTTATTGTTTATCTCCCGTGAGTACCCGGGTGATATCCAAGAATTCTTGACTGGCTCGTGACCTCTGCTGCGCCACCCAAATACGCAATTTACAGTACATGTATAACTATAGACTGATCAACAAAGATGAAATCTTTCTTACTCGATGATATTTCCTTCTTCGTTCTTCTTTTGAAACAAATGAAAACATTTTGAAGCTTAACCATCTGCCAGTGGTAAAAAATGTTAGGACCGAAAAATACGAAGTCAATGTACGTTTTTATATTTTGTCTAATAATCCTAATTAGTTTATTATCATATTTGTATGCATTTTGAAACGTAAAAAAGCATACGATCTCTTTATACTTATAGTAAATTTATAACATGACTGTAATATCTGGACATTTTATAGACTGCCAACGTAAATCATATTTCACACACGCTGTAAGTGCGACCTAGTGTATGTTGTCTGTCTCATTAATTACACTTCACAGCGAAAAAATGTTTCTGTTAAATGCTACCACAAATGAATAAAAACGAAATGCAAACATTAAAGTTATAACAACAATGTCAGGCTATTACCTTGTTCGAGGAATGTATCCATCAGTATCCACAAAACGGAACGATATGCCATTATTCTGCAGCTGACAAAGCATCCTGTTCCATGCCATGTGTCTTTTAACAATCTAATATGCGAAAAAGTGATACATCGTTTCAGGTTTTTCACATTGGTGTATAGTCTCAGTGGTCACCCAAAATAGCACACCTGGCAACTAATGATGCCCGCCATACTTTAAAAAAAGTAATTTAGTTAGCCAATAATGAGCAATCAATCAACGTATTGGCGGTTAATCCTTTGAAGGAAGGACGTTTTTACAGAGGTACTTTACGACAGGGTGTATTCAGTATAGATAAGTTAATCTACATACTTAATACCTATGACTCCTGCTACTTGTTTAATGCTGCCGGTGTCACTGCCCTGCTATTGAATTTGTACTACCATTCAATTGTGCGCTGCCATAGCAATGGTTTTCCCATTGAATGTTGTACTCCAACTCTACTGTATTGCAATTTCAGTTACATTGTAATTTCCTGCTTTGATTTGTAAATTTATTTCATTTTACAATAGAGGTGACAATTGTGCAACATGTGTTTGTAACTTGATGGTTTCACACACTGAATAATGTGCGTGCGTATTTCAGGGTCAACTTATTGTTTGAATTCGGAAAACGACTCGAAACATGCAAATATTTACTTGTATGTTAGTGGATGAGCTTCCTAGGATCAGTCCATTATATCAAGGGTTCATTTTGTCATTTCAATTAGTAAGATACCGTATTTTCTATAATAAGAGCCCGGGCTTTTTTTATCGGACTTCCACTGCGCTTATTAGAGGCCCGCCGCTTATTTGAGACGCTTATTTGGTGTACCGTAATTAATTGTCAGTGAGTGTTACGTCAAATTAAGGGACCATTCCTTAATAGATATGTATTCAGGGAGCCAGATTTGTCACGTTATTGATACTTACTATCATGCTAATCAAAGGATGACAGCCATTGTTATATCAAAATATAAGCGAATATCGTAAATTATAATTATGAAGTTGCATAAACGATTATTGCAAATTGGCCCCTGCTATTTAGAATATGACTATTCTCTACTACGTAAGTTCGATATCATTTATACAATTACCTTGTGTATCTCCGATGAGAATGAACACGAAGTGTGTGCACGCAATCCAGACAACCCTCGTATTGTGCTCCATCTCGTCCACGCAAATAACTGTTAACGTGTTAAAATGAAACCTGATATACTATTAACATTTCCGCCTCGAGGTACTTTACAATGTTATTCTAAAGCCTTCAGCGGCAAAGACTTCCTTTCGAACTTGAGAATCATCAACGAAAGTCCCCACATCACGATTGCTCTAATATTCCTTGATGGCAAAACACTAGATGTCCATGTGAAGGAGACGTATTGGTAGGCTTGTCTCTGCAGGATTTGACACGTAACTTGTCCAGTTCATTTGGGATGACAAACATCGCAAAAGGTCCGTTTTCTCTTATTCTTATCAAGGAAACCTTTCCTACACCACGACTAAAACAATAACCTCTGGCACTTAACTGTATGATTAAAAATTGGGAATAAAATGAATGTTTATATGCAGTGAAGTACTTAGGCATTGTAGAAACAACTATGAACTTGCTGACATGCATGCTAGGTGGTTAAGAGACGATGTCTTTATGTGTCGTATGCAAGTTATTGAAGCTGTGTAATTCATACATTTGAATATTTCAACAGGTTCAATTGCAAGGAACATGTTACTAATTGCGACGTTTGTAGTAATTATAGTTTGTAACACTTAACACAGAAGATGTTACATTGGAAAATATATTCTGGGTTTATATTCATGCACGCACACATTTACCTCGACGCATCACTGTGGTTACTAGGGGCGGTGGGGTAGCCTAGTGGTTAAAGCATTGGCTCGTCACGCCGAAGACCCGGGTTCGATTCCCCACATGGGCACAATGTGTTAAGCCCATTTCTGGTGTCCCCCGCCGTGATATTGCTGAAATATTGCTAAAAGCGGCGTAAAACCAAACTCAGTCAGTCAGTCTAACGTGCAACGATGTACAGAGGATACTAAACGACTTTCCGTGCAATACCATTTTTATCAAACGAGTTAATGATTTTGTATCAAATGCAAATTATCACAGCATGTCACAGTCCAGTAGTGGATGTTGTTTCCCACAGTCCCATCTTCTAAATATAGCACGTCAGTGCAAAAGAATATCCTACAGACATTGAATGCTTTTGATTTAAATTAGACTGATAATTTCGGTAGAACAATTAGTAGCATTCGCTTCAATCAATGCATTATGTTCTATTCCCATATGACGCACATATTTACATAGTCGACACAAACACAAATTACAGGGAAACCGCTACAATATTATGTCACTAACAGAAATAGTAAAATATTTCAGTCATATCGTGACGAGAAGAATACATATAAAAATAAGGAGTAGCCTACGTTGAGACTATAAAAACCTCTCTGAAATTGACAGTAAAACACCTCAAGAAATAGAGGATATTATATGAGTGCCCATGTTATACTATGTTTACGACACGAGTACCTAAATGTTGGATATGCCGATATTTAGGTACGAGTGTTGTAAACATAGTATGATATTCTGTTTATTACCGAAGCTGTCAAATTGAGGAAAATAAACCCAAATCTTCTTTCAATCACAGGCTGGCTACCCGCCGTCGCCGCGTGTAGAACGCAACGTCACAGAAGAAACGTGACGTCATAGCCTTGTTCATGACGTCACGTCACCATGACAAAGTGATATTTTGCCCCAGCGTTGACTTTAGGTTGACTTTAGGTTGTTTGGTTGATCAACCTTTCATAAGCGTTGATTCAACGTTTATCATGCAACCAAAGAAAATTAATCGAGATTCGTTTATTTGTCGACGTTGTTTCAATGTAAGGAACAAACAAAATGTCAACTAATTGTTTCCTAGGCAAATTTGATACATAATTTATATTAGTAATAGGCGTCCAACTTAGCAACTATCATTTCTGAACATTAATTTCATAAAAGATCCAGATCGACCTAGTGACAGATATAATCTAGTATATTGTTCGATTGTGCATCGATCAACGGACGGAAATATTACGTAAATCGCAATTGAAAATGAAAAAATCAATGATTTTAGGTATAAAGTCATCAGTTATCCGAATTGCATTCAATTTGATATTTTCCCACAAAACTGTCAAAATTGTATAACTCCCGACAATTTGCTTTCAAACACATGCCAGGTGTTGACCTTTCGGTCGCCTCGTTTGGTCATATCCGGACATGCGCAAAATTATCGCGCGCGCAAAGGCAGTTGATCGTTTTCAGTTCGGCGTTTCGCTTTGGCGAAGTTCAACGCAAACTTGTTTTATTTTCAACATCTTCACGGCATGCTGGTGTTTATTTGGTAAGTATTTCATTCATGTATAATGAAAACGGGATGTTGTTTAAATCTAGCAGGTCAATGTAGCAGGAAACTCCGAACTAGGGCTGATGTTTATCTCACATGGTTACAGGTATGTCACGTACGTGTTTCTCAATTTCGTGGAAGCCCGAGTTTTCCATGAACTTGTTTTGTTATATTTCAATATATTTGCATGCATATATTTGGCATTTCATTATGTAGTCGAATAAGATTTCCTTTCGTACCCATCACCCCTGATTTGAATTATGCAAATACATGTATACATTCTTAAAGAATCAATAAAGTACATGTATAGAAGGGACCGGTCATAATTTATGTGTGTGTGTGTGTGTGTGTGTGTGTGTGTGTGTGTGTGTGTGTGTGTGTGTGTGTGTGTGTGTGTGTGTGTGTGTGTGTGTGTGAGAGAGGGAGGGGGGAAGACAGTTAGTAATGATGATGATTTTAGGGGGTTCACCCATTTTGTGTAGGGGAGCTAGGGATCAGCAATTTTGTATACACGAACGTTGTACTATGTTTAAAATGATGCTTAGGAATTGTGTACATACATTTTTATGGGTGGCAGGTGGTGGTGCTGGTGGGGGTTTAATTCACATTGTACATGCTTCTCCATAAAAACCATCATCACCCCCTAGCCATAAATTATGAACGGTCCCTAAGGGCAGCTATTCAAAATCGAATAGAATTTATCAATAATTTATATTACATATCACATTCTTATGAACGTTTGTTCGTTTGAATGGATATACCAGTAAATTGTGCTCTGAGCACGC